GGAAAACGTCTATTGGAATATAAAAACGTTTAGGGCAACTTAATGTATCTCTTGTATAAAAATGATATTCGTGTACTATCGAAGAATAAGCATACAAAAGTTATAATATGTAATTTTAATTCATTTTTATATGAAAAACTATTTCGTTCTCCATTGTATAATATACTTAGATTAACGTAACTTATAATATAACGTACTTTGCTCAAATTAATATTTTCATTAATCTGTTTCTTTACCTTCTCTTTAATATTTACAAATTGTTCTCGGTTTGAAGTTGGCAAATCTTACGACTACGTATATTAACGTTCCATCGGAGACATCGCGTTAGCTTTTCCACATTCGACAGTTCCCGTTCCACGTTTTTGCACATCCAGCACGCTCGACGAAGTGTCTACCGACAGTATTACTATTAAAAGTTGCAGCCGACGTGAATTTTTCACAAAGGAAAAAGTATTCGGCGCCGCCGCTCGTATCTTCTATATTAAAACCTAATATGCGAGCAGGTAGACACGTAATATCTATTACAGAGTAATATCACCCTCGAAAACCTTCCGCGAGTACTTTGTCACATTTATTGTTCATATTCGAGGGGTTCCCGCTGCATTAAAGAGACTAACGCTCGCGATGGATGAAAAATCGGTAGACGACTGAACAGTTTTTCCTGGAAACACTCGTTTCTTTGATGTTACTGGAATTTTTTTAACAATCGACTGCGTAAATAGAGTAGTTTCCTTATAATCATCGTACTTTCGGTCAATAGAATTTTTTGTTTGGAATTTTTCACGGATTAATGCGTGGATTATTCGAAAATGTTAATTAGAAAGGTTTTAAAGAATAAAATTGGTATTCGATACATAGAATGGTTAAAGTATAGTAGAATTTCAATTCATTAAACTAAGATCCAATCATACTGAGTTTAGACGTCTTTAATCTAAACTTCGCCTCAATTAGGATATCAGTCGAGAAAATGGAAACAATGAAATCATATTAAAATGGAAACAACAGTTAATAATACAAGGAATATTTAGCAGCTCAATTTGCGTGATCTGATTAGTCCTCAATCAGGAATTCACTTTCCAACTTTAAGTAGACAACTCCAAGAAGCTTTATACGATTACATATGTTTTGTATTTCGTGGATACTCACAGCGAACGGGAATAAGAGTTATGAACGTCGACTGTGGAGTGAAAGAGTGTCGTAAAGCAAGAACAGGAAGTGCAGCGAGCAGAACCCCGCAGCGAGCGATAAAAATTTATATCAGGGTGTTCGCCTCGGTCGGATAGTGAATTCAAACAGGCGTGTAATTGGCAGTATCGTAAAAAAGACCGAGAAGATCGAAAGAAAAAGCGAGAGGGGGATAGTGAACGGCGAGTCGAAGAAGATGAAGAAAAATACAGGCGCAGGCCGAAGAAACGGAAAGAAAGAAAGCTCGAGGGGCCCGTCTGTCCTCATAATTTTTTATCCTAAAACCGCTCCATCGCTTCGAAGAGCAATATTGTTAATATGCAAAGGAGTTTCGGAAAAATGGGGTGGCAAGGAATAAGGAGATAACAGGGACGCCCTGCGCCCCGAAATTAACGTGCGCCTCTCTCTTCCGAAGATTATCTTGTTCCAGGAATATTACGCGCTTGCTTACGGAATATCGATATCAAAATGTCCCTTATAAATTCGCGTTAATTCTTAAGCTCAACTTTAAACGCGTGTAAATTCTTTCGGATAAATTCTATGATTTATTTAATTAGTTAAAATTATTCCCACGTAGTTCCCATAATTAGGTACGTTAGGTAAGTTTTGAAATATTCTGCACTAAATAATGATTGAAAGACAAATACATTAAAACGATATGATTAAATTAAACCGGTTAATACTTTAGGAGGCCATCGTAAAGAAAAACATGATACAGAACGCTTCATACGCCTACAAAACAAAATAATAGTATAATTGTTCAAAATTCGAGGCAACGCAAACGCTTTTCTTATTCAAATGTAATTAATTACAAAATATAATCGAAGATTGTCTGTTCAACGAATGATCTAGAATAAAAAAAAAAAGGGGGGAGAGAAAAATGCTGCCAATCGAATCTTGTGACGACGACGCAGAGAACGAATCTTACCCTAAGCTAGTTTAATCAGTGACAGATGAAACAACGTTCTCGCAACGGAGGCCATGAAATAGTAGTTGAACGAATTGTTTTGATAAGTCGCAGAGACAATACGTCGTTAAGGTGGCGAGGATTTCTCCTTGAAGGAGGAGAAAGTAGACGTAGTCTGGTGGATGGAGAAAGATGACTGACACCCTCGAAAAGGGGGTGGCACGAGGAAGGTGACGGCGGGGCAAGGCGAGGAGGACTCTCCAAGTTTAGATTAAACTCACCACGGATAAATATTCGTAATGGAGCGCCAGGGTGCTATAAATTAGCATGCTGCCCCCTGTTGTCCTTTCTCGATTCGACAATCTGTACACCGGGGCCCGTTACCTCCAACCATAAACTTCGACTTTTCCGCGAGTGCTCGCGCGCTCGTGCAACGTTGTCTGTCGATAATAAAAGAACTTTCGTCGAACTTTGTCCTCCGCGTAAAACTTCACATCGAAATGATAACAGCTATTTGGTAAAGTATTTTTATGAGAACAAAACAAGAATGACAGTGTTTCATTTTTTTTTCTCCTTAGTAACTTTACGTTTTATACATTATCGCTTGGTTGCGTGCTGTTTTCCGTTATCCAAATATGTTAAAAGAGAATTAAAAGAGAGACGAATTCGACCAGGAAAGATCACGAAGTTTAAAAGTGTACAGTGTTCGTCAAAATAAGAAAAAGTCTTGATTATCCTGCACGCTAGAGGCATAGGTATAACATTACGAATTTAGTTGTCTATTTAAGAAGCAATAGAATAAGAGAATAAGCTTATATCAAGCTTAAAAAGTATTTCATATCTCTGTTTCAAAAAAGGACATACTTATTCTGCATATTTGTTACAGTAAAGATTCTAGGAATTTAATAACGTAAATATAGTAAACGCTCATCGCTTGAAGTTCATATTGCTACTAACTTTTTAAATGTTTATTTCCACAAATTTTTCCATGACAACTATCGCCTATATTTCGGATATTGATTAATATACTACAGAATAGCGCAATATGACAATTTTATATTTGTAAATACTGCTAGAAATATTTAGCACATATTTAATCATGGCAAGATAATAGAAGTTCAGGTCTCGGAACGTGCGTCATAGATCGTGTAGAAGACGCTTTCGGTTGCGAAGGGATGGAAGAGGGGGTAAACCGCTATTAATCCACAGCAAAATTGAGTATTATTAGGGGATACATCCAGGATTTGCGGTGGGCCGGGTTAAAATCTCTTTCCGCCGTATCTCAGGAATATCTGGTAATCGTTACTTTACGTGCTGGCGAGAAAACTCTTTCGCCCTCCGCGTACCTCTCTATCTATAAGATTAGACCAGACGCGGATTTACTTTGTTTTATTGGCTGACCCATCCCTACGATCTGCCTTGAAAGGGACTTAATTGGTGTTGCGGGATCACTTTGATACCGCAACGTTTCCAGACGCGGCTACCCGTCGAATTCCTGCTTCAGATTTCCAATCTGGGACGACTGTTGTCTGACCATGCGTGTATACGCAGCTAAGGGTAATATCTACCCTTAATTGGCATGCTTGCGATTTTTGCTGCCCGTGATTCTCGTGGAATCGATTTTCCCGAATATTCCAACGTATTCTTCTCTTGCTGTATAATTTACGCTATACTTGTAATTGGGTTTTCTCTAAACGAGAATTTCTTTCTTTCAATCCTAAATCTCTTTCTTTTATCCTAAGTCTACAAAAATTTAATCTTAAGTATACAAAAATTGTTCGTACCTATGCCTACTTTTCATTACTGTTCTGGTCTCTCGAAAAATCCGAGAAAATTCGGAAAAATATATTGTAGTTTTAACCGTATTGTACATTAATTAATAGATTTTGAGGTAAAAATAGAAATACACTAGTGAAGTTCAGGATGTAAAAGACTCGGGTTGTCCACTAAAATAAAACACAAGTGTAATGGAATCTGAAGAATTTTGTGGTGAATCGCAGGAATAGGGTTGATTACGATATATTTTAAAACCATATCAGCCGAAATATTTGGCAAACGGGATACAGACGAATGGGAAACATCAAGTTCAATGAAAAGCGCAGCAGGATCGGATGTAAAGCAGCCACAAAGATATTTTGAATCCCAACGGTGTCTCTTTCGATCTCAATACATCTTGGCGTGTCTGCAGCGTAATAGAGAGAGAGAAAAAAGGTTCCTCGATGCTCACAGGGCTGCTTTCTGGATTGAAGTGGATTAATTGGTTGAACACTCACGGGGGTTGGAGCGAGACCACCCCCTCACCCCCATTCAATTACTTGTGATCTTTGCCGCCAACCCTTCGGTACTCCGAGACCTCCGGATATATCTCGCCGCTGTGAAAATTGGTCCCCCTGCCTCTGCCACCCTTTGCGCCAAGGGAAACTGCGCTATCGCAGGTATCCCTTCGAATAAGAAAACCTCACTGGGGAATCTTTCGACGCATTCTCCACGTGACTGCCATATCGATTGCACGCTCCAATATCAAGATTCCCGGCAGAATCTTTGAATGAAAACTTTCCTACGGCCTGAGATACGATCTCGTTGCAATCCTCATGGAATATGTATGGAATTTACGGTAATATACGCTTCGGTGTTGCTGGAATTATCCTGCAAACTAGTTATATGATTCGAATTTTTGTTTTTCTTTTAGTACGAGGTCAACGATGATTGAAAACGATAAAATATTTGTATCTTTCTGCTTATTCTTAAGAACTATTGACTGGATTGTTAGGTTTAAGTGAACTTTTCTTCTTCCATCCATTTATTACCGCGATAAGGTGCGGCATTAAAAACAGTAATAGTTATAGCTGTATGTTGCTCGTTATAGCATGAAACCGAAATTAAACATTAGCGTATGTGTTTGTTTCAGAACATCGATGACAGAAAATCTTCATTCATCGGTCCTCGTCCACTGAACCAGGTAAGCACTGTATAATTTATTCATGTCATATTCTATTGACCGTAAGCATGAAAAAATCCTATAGTCGATTGAAAATCTCTACCTTTCTCGCTTAATAGATGCAACTTTTGAACGTAGAATTAATTGAAAGCGATATCATCATACATAATATTTATTTGGATACCAATCTCCTATTCACTCTTACATTTCAGATGAATCGAACCTACGTTACAACTTATTAAGTCGATATTCCACGAAAACGACACTTTTGAAAATTTCCTTGCCTCGTTGCCCAATCTTCAAATTCCCCGAAACGAATTAGGTGTATGTTTTTTAATCAACGCTCCTAAGCACGCGTGCTTCATCGTGACGATCGTAGCGAGGATAGGACAGGATAGCACAGCGACAATTAACCACGTTCGTCCAGTAGCTGGTGTATATACATATATATCGGGTTTCGTGATATTTCTTAATTAAATATAGCCTCAAGTTAAAAATGAAATTAAATAGAAGCCAGTATTTTTCGCCGCCGCCTACCGGCGCCGCGTCCACCGCATGGCCAACCCTTTCAACCAGTTTCTCGGTCGTCGACAATGGCGAGAGTAAGGTTGCACGGCCGTCGTACGCCCATTTCGACTCTCTCTGCAACCCCTTCTCGCTTTCCACGGGCCACCCACCATACATATTTCACGTCGAAATAATTAAACGCCGCTGGACCGCGAGTCGACTCGCCTC